AAAAAAAAAACCACGTCAAGTCACAAGCGGATGCAAATACGTGAGCGCACTTGAAGGGGAATGAAAAAAGCATAATGCTCTCCTCATTCGACAAAACAGAAGATAATCCACTGAATCAGTAAAATTGCAAAATCACCATAAAAACTCACAAGTCCATTGTACAGACGGGCGAAGACTGGCTTCTGCACATAACGTAAAGATCCGTTCTCTCCACTCCAACCTTCATATCTGTTGCTGTACGATGTGCTTGGTCCAGCGTGTCCACACGCATCATCATCTCTGGGTGGACTCTGCGGAGGACTGCATGCTCCATCAGTAGCAATCGTCCGCTCAGTCGAGCTGGATGGCACAGCGGTCACTTGTGCAGGATCATCCTGATTGGTACCGGATGGAGCAGTTCCAGAGGCCTGTTGTGAAGTTGGCTCAACCAGAAAATCCCATATGAGAATGGTGTCATCGTGAGAACTGCTCACGATTTGGAAGTCATCGAACTGCAGGCGAAATACACGACCAGTGTGCTGCTGCAAGCAAAGAGATCGATGGGATTCATTCACCATGCAAAAGTGACACTTACCACCAAAGTGCTAAGACAAAGGGAACTGGGAGACGAACGAGGATCAAGAGCAGCCTCCAAGTCCCAGACACGAATCTTCCTGAAGCCTAACAAATACGAGCAGAACAAGCAGAGAATGTGATGCTGGATTTTACCCATCGTAAGCTCCTGAGACAATCCGTTTATCATCAAAGCGAATGCATCGCACAAGCTCTTCGTGTCCCTCGAGGACGCGCAAACATACACCAGAATGGATATCCCAGAGCCTTCATATAAGCTACTGAATTTGCAGACGCAATGCTGGAGCTCTACTCACCTGATAGAATTATCGCTGGATCCAGAAACAACAAGACGTCCCCGATATTGTAAGCATGCAATACCCCGTTTATGACCTGATAGAGTGCGGACAAACTCCAAACTGTCAGCAGACCAGACCTGTAACATAACAGCGCTATTAGGTACAAGCGTGCATCACCTTCACCTAATCTTCATCATCATTGTATCATTCGATACTACATAGTACCGCTACATAGTACAGTCATGGTCGCCCAACTACAGACGTATATCTTGTACCATCACCGTTTGCTCACTGTAAAATTCAAAGCGGACATTGCATCACGCCCATTCCCTGGGTGAGATAGGTGCACTCAGCGCTTAACAACGCATACTGTATGAAAATAAGTGGAGAATTGTTCGGCATCAGAAGGTAACGAGAGCTTGGAGGGCACGAAACCAAGTCATCATATCACAAAAGGCGAAATGTAGCTTGTTCACGAACATTACCACACACTGAACAGGACATGCTAGCAAAGCTTTCAGTGGCCGTAAACATTAAAAAAACCAGGGGCAGACTAACTCACGATCTGTATTCGCACACTTTTTGTAGTTTTTCACAACT